TCCGAGCTTTTGGGGGTTTATGGCCCCTTGAAACCCGTGGACCCCACGCCTATATTATATATACACGCAACTCAAGACCCGTGGAAATCCGCGGGATTCTAGAGGGGGGTGCAGGCAAAAAATTAAGTTTTTCATTTCGGGGGCTCCATTTCAAATTTTTGGGAAATTTTCGGGGGCTACTTTTTCAACTTTCGGAGGCTCTTTTTTCTGGGGCTACTTTTTCATTAATTCATAAAAAACGATAGGCCTACACTTTGTTGAGATTTGTTCAGTAGGCTAAGGTTTCAGGCTTCCTTCTTCATAATTGCCTATTTAAAAAAACAAAACATTTTTCTAGTTCAATAACTAAGTTTTCATGCATTGATTTGATGCAAGAACTGTAACATAATAGAACCTAGATTGTGATTATTTCTGACCATTAATTTCGATAATCATTTTTCAAAGTAAAATTTTCACAAGAAAATCTGACAGTCGTTTAAAAACGTAGACATTAGTAATACTTTTACTAATTCTAAGCTCAGGTTTCGTAAATCTATTCACGAAACTATATTAAAATCGCGGCAATAATGATGCAAACCAACAGATAACAATTTCAAAGTGTCAAATCTCTTCGACTCAAGCTTAGGTGAACTCACACACACTGCAGCGTAACTCCTTAAGCTCAACACCGGCGCCGCAGGCGTCGGACGCCTACGGTGCGCGGTGTTGGAGCTTACTGCAAGCTCATCGCAACTCACACACACTACACATCAGCACTGCACTTTGTGTTGACTGAAGGCAGCTTGCGACGGAACTGTCAGTCCAATGGTTTTCTTGTGAAAACTTTCCTTTAGAAAATGATAATCAAATTTTAGTATACATTGCCGTAATAATCACAAAATAAGCTTTCATTTCATACCTACATTCACGAAAACTATATACAAATCGCGGCAATAATGATGGAAATAGGTCTCTAAGTTTGGACGTGGACGGGAAGCTTCGTGTGCATCTCTGTGGCTTGTGCCCGACCCTGTGCATAGTGCATTTAATACGCAACTTAATGTGAGTGGATGGTCATCGGTCGTGTGTCTACGGATGCAATGTTGAATATCCATGAGGTATCTCTGTCGTCACGCATATCCTGCATTATGCATGTCGCGTCTGTTTTCGCCCTGGACGTCGACACGGAGGAGGACCTCGGGCGGAGTATAGCCAATTCGCTAGAGTGGACTCTCCCGCGGACGATGGCACCGGACACGGGTACCCCGAGGGGAGGGTTCAGGAGGAGATAGCCGCACCAACTTGGGTCGGCGATCTCATTAAAAAACAATAGAATACAAAGGCTCGCCGAGACGTCGCGCCCCCCGCGGAGCCTTAGCGTATTACTTATATAGACTAGCAGGACCCGCGGAAATCCGCGGGATTCTAGAGGGGGGCGGGGGGTGTAAATAGATATATAGAGACTGTCTAAATTAAAACCACCAAGAACTTTATTTGCCATTCAGGCCATTAAAAAAATATACATGTTTAGCGTCCCCGCCCGCTTTTTTTAAAAATATTTTATTTTTTTATTTTTTTTATTTTTGAAAGAAAAAAAAACAGCGTTCCCGCCTGCTTCCTTTTTGGGGGCCGCCTCCTATTTTTTTTTTTTTTATTTTTTTTTTTTTTTTTATTTATTTATTTTTTTTGAAAGAAAAAAAACATGAAAAGCACTGCTAAAATGTATTTCTGATTTTAAAAAAGAAAAAAAAAAATTGTCGGCCGCCATCTTGAAAAATAGGCTGAATATCAGGGAAAATGTACGGAGCGGCCATTTTGAAAGAAAAAAAAAAGAAAAAAAGGGCCTCCTTCCCATTTTTCGAAAAAAACAGAACGCTAAACAGGTTTTTTTTTTAATTTGGCCTTATATAAAAAAACAAAAACGATCCAACTATACCGGTAGTTATTCTTTAAGCCACTGGAACTGCGTAGAGTTCCGTAGTGTGGCGTACCGACTACGCAGAAATTAGGCTGCGTATTAATGGGAAAATAGTCCCTGCGTAGGTTATGCGTAGGCTGGCGTACAGGTTTGCTTATGGTTGCTTACTGTGTGGAAAGCTTTTACTGCTTTGTCAATCTGGCGTAGGGTAGCGTACTGTTGCATAGTCATGTAGCGTAGTGTTGCGTAAAAAGGCGTACTTTCTGCGTCAAGTTTCTACGCCGAAAGTACGCGAAAAAAATTAAACATGTTGAATTGTTTTCGTTCATCTTGCGTACCCCTTTCCGTCCCCCAGCATATAGTAACGTAGGCCAGCGTAGTTGGTACGCAACACTACGCAACTCTACGTATTGACCCCACGCCAAATAAAGTATTAAAAATATGCTCATCTGACCCTAATTATCGATCTACCTGATCCCAACCCGTACCCCCCCCCCCCACAACCCGTGGACCCCACGCCTACACTCAACTCGCTTCGATCTACCTGACCTCCCCCCCCCCCCCCCCCCACACTTTGAAAAATGTTTTGTGGGGTCTGCATGTAACATGTAAGATGCAGATTTTTTTTGTAACATGTAAGATGCAAAAAAAATATTTTGCGCCCCCCCCCCCCCCCCCCAACGATCTTATGGCACTTCGGCCTGCCCGCTGTTGTGTTCACGTGTAGGCCTACTTCAATGAATGGATAGACATAAATAGTCGCATGGATGGATACATAATATAGCGTATAGTTGTCGAATATTGGCATGTTTGGCCCTTCATAGTCTCTTCGACTCTGAATAGCTAGCTCACTCACTCACTCAGCTCAGTCGAGCAGCCAGCGCAGCTATAGTGCACTGCACTACACACTGTATGCGTACGGCAGAGCTCTTGAAACTGAACGATGTTTTTCTCTGATTTTCTTGTGAAAACTTTCCTTTAATAAATGATAATCAAAACTGAGTAAACATGGCCAGAATAATCACAAAATAAGCTTTGATTTCATACCTCCACTCACGAAAACTATATAAATATCCCGGCAATAATGATGGAAATAGGTCTCTAAGTTTGGACGTGGATATGGGAAGACATCTGTTGCGCTGATCATGAAATAAGCTAATAAATATCAAATAAAGACTCAACTCGTTTAAATTTTAAATATGAGGTCTACATTTTAATTAAAATTAAAAAAATGGTAAAGATTACAAAATCTAAAATATACAAAACAAACACGGGGAAGAAAAAAAACAACACTTGAGACGGAGGCGGGATCGAACCCGTGCGTGCAAAAAGTGCAAGAGCTGCCGGCGAATCGAACGCAACCGGCGCCTCAGACCGCTCGTCCACTTCCGTTTCATGCTAAAGCATGAAATTCGTGACGGATATATAGGACGTGCGGACGCATCGACGACGTCGACGACGACCGGGACGTCGCACCGGGCCGGGACGTGGCCAATTCCGTAGATTGAAACCCCGTCCGTCCGCGGGACCGCCCGGCGGCGCCCGGGGGCGGGCGGGAGGGGAGATTTGGGCGCCGTGAAATGGAGCCCGGATACCCCCCCTCGACGCCTTAGCGTATTATTATATGGACTAGCTGTTTGCGCCCGTTAAACGGGCGCTCTTTGCTGTGGCAGCCATTCTGTGTTTGCGTGGCGAGCTTCTTTTCGGTTAATACCTGTAAGAAACGTCAATGAAATATATCAACCGGTTCAATTTTAAAAAAATTAAAATTCACTTCAGCTCAGAAAATACAGCATCTGCTGCAATTACGGCCGGGATTCTAGAGGGGGGCGGGGGGTGTAAATAGATATATAGAGACTTTTTAAATTAAAACCATCAAGAACTTTATTTGCCATTCAAGCCATTAAAAAAATATACTTGTTTAGCGTCCCCGCCCGCTTCCTTTTTGGGGGCCGCCTCCTATTTATTATTATTTTATTATTTTTTTTTATTTTTTTTTTATTTTTTTATTTTTTTAAAGAAAATAAAACAGCTTCCCCGTCCGCTTCCTTTTTGGGGCCTCCTCCTATTTTTTTTTTTTTTGTTGATTTTTGTTGATTTTTTATTTTTTGAAAGAAAAAAAAAATGAAAAGCACTTCAAAATGTTTTTCTGATTAAAAAAAGAAATTAACTGTAATAGAAGCAGGACCCGCGGAATACCTAAGGGGGGGGGGTAGGGTGTAATAGATATATAAATTAAAACCACCAAGAACTGTATTTGCAAATTAGAGGAAACCATTAGTTCCTACCCAACTTTATTTGCCATTTTGAGGACACCATAAGTCTAACTTGTTGGTATTCACATTGAAATATCCACGGGATTATAGGGGGTTGGGGGGGGGGGGGCTGTAAAATGTTAATAGATATATGCGCTCTCGAAAATAATATTGATTTAAATACAAACAAAATTAAGGTTAATTTTTATATAATTTAACATCCTTTTTTTCTTTGGAACATTTTTGTCTTCTTTTATTTTCTTTTTTATTTCTCTTTCTTGTATATGATTACTTTTTATTTATTATTCCATTTTCTTCTCTTTTTATTTATATTTTATACTTGTAAAGATATAAACCTTTTCTTTGTCGTTTAATGTAGCGTTTTGATTATTTTTTTTTTATCTGTACCATGTAATAAAAATTGAAAATTGGAGAAAAAAAGTGAGATCAGATATTTGTAATTAAAATTTGTTGCAGATAATTTATAATTTAATTTCGTTTTCACTTTCGTTATTTATGATTATTGTCTTCAATTGTTCCTATCCATTTTCTCCCTTTCGCTTTCCCATTCTCTCTAGTATCTAGCAATACCATTCCATTTCACTCCCATTCTCACATTTCCTTTTTTCACACATTACTAAGTTAATTTAGTTCTACACTGAAAATAATATATTAATTGATGTATTCACATATTTTCCATCTTTTGCTTAATTTCTCTCATTTCTCGGATCACAATGCTGACATGATAGTAGATTATAAATGAAATTGATTTTCAAAGAGTCTATCAATAATTAAAAAAATTACAACATACTTATGTAAACTTGCTCCAAATGAAAACATGAATACAATTTTTTAATTTGGCTTAACATACTTTATTAAAATAACATGATCCATTTATTAAAGTTATCATCAAAAAGATATTTTGCATGGATGATTCAATTAACTTAAAAGAGACGCTTTGATGTTCTCCATACTTGGAAATATATGCAGACACATAATTACATACTTCCTCCTCTTTTTTTCTGTTAAAACAATGAGATAATGGGAAGAGATAGATTACTTTTTCAATTAGGACTGTACATATCAACCTCCCATGCATGAAACCACATTCATATTTTTTCTGCAAAGTTATCAAGGATCCTCTATATGTGCACTCTCATTGCATTTTATGAGATTGTATCGTCCAGCTAAAAGGGAACATAATGATGACAGAACAAATACCTCAAATCTATTTATTATTTACTAATTATTGATTGAAGTGATTTTGTTGCGCTGTGGAAGACAAATTCATTACTACTAATCATTATTATTATTCATTTAATACATAATAAAAATTAAATATTTTTAAAAATAACCTGCATTGCTCTCACTTTGCTACTTGCACTTCCTTGGGGCGCTGATACTGATAGAGAGGGTACGTAGGAGGGATTCATCTCAGCCACACATCCATGGGGCGCTGCTACATGTGGTACATGCGATGGGTTCATCATACATTAGTCTGATAAGAGATATATAACAATTTTATTTACAATTGTATTTAAAATTGATTTCATCATGAAATAAGCTAATAAATATCAAATTAAGACTTGACTGATTTAAATTTAAAATATTATATTTTAATAAAAAATATTGATTGATATTCATAAATTTCTGTGTTTGCGTGGTGAGCTTCTTTTCGGTCATTTTCTGCGCGTACGCAAGAAAACAACACTCATATTTTTTCTGCAAAGTTATCAAGGATCCTCTATATGTGCACTCTCATTGCATTTTATGAGATTGTATTGTCCAGCTAAAAGGGAACATATTGATGACAGAACAAATACCTCAAATCTATTTATTATTTACTAATAATTGATTGAAGTGATTTTGTTGCGCTGTGGAAGACAAATTCATTACTACTAATCATTATTATTATTCATTAAATACATAATAAAAATTAAATATTTTTAAAAATAACCTGCATTGCTCTCACTTTGCTACTTGCACTTCCTTGGGGCGCTGATACTGATAGAGATGGTACGTAGGAGGGATTCATCTCAGCCACACATCCATGGGGCGCTGCTACAGGTGGTACATGCGATGGGTTCATCATACATTAGTCTGATAAGAGATATATAACAATTTTATTTACAATTGTATTTAAAATTGATTTCATAATGAAATAAGCTAATAAATATCAAATTAAGACTTGACTGATTTAAATTTTAAATATTATATTTTAATAAAAAATATTGATTGATATTCATAAATTTCTGTGTTTGCGTGGTGAGCTTCTTTTCGGTTATTTTCTGCGCGTACGCAAGAAATACAGCTCCGTTATTCATGATTGAGGTATCGTTATTCATGAATGAGGTATCAAGTTGACCGGGATCATTGTCCGAATAACTGTAAGAAATGTCAATGAAATATATCAACCAGTCCAATTTTTAAAAATAAAAATTCACTTCAGCTCAGAAAATACAGCATCTGCTGCAATTACGGCCGGTTTTAAGAACCAGAGTTCTGGGAAAGAATATTCTAAAGCCTTCAAATTTCATGCATAGACTCTACCTTAAATTTCTGTGACCGCGCAGCGGAGACTCTACGTGCATATGATCAGAATTGCCGAATTCCTTCCGATTAAAATAAATAAATCCGTTAATATATAACCCATGTACGTTGACGTAGAAACTGTCAACTGAACCCCTTAACATGCCACTGACGCGTGTTATCTTACTCTTATCCATAAATTATGACCATTTAATTTCAAGTAGATCTAGATCTAGTCTATGACAAACTATAACTCATATAAGTAGTGCATATTTTTAGATATGGCACAACCCATATTATTATAAACAAAAACATGTTCATTTACCAAGGGTAACCCCTCAGAGAAACATGCAGACACATAATTACATACACGTACGCCTAAATGGTCACCCCTTGCAAACACTCGTGCCAGCGCAACACTCGTGCCAGCGCCAACACCAAGCTGCAGTGCCAGCGCCCCGCTCCGGTCCTGTTGATGACCGAAATCAATCCGTTAATAACATTCAAGCTTATTCTGAAATTGAACGTCTGATCATGGCCATTACAATGACACAAAAACATCATGAAATAAGCTAATAAATATCAAATAAAGACTTGACTGATTTAAATTCAAAATATTAAACTCTGTTCACTCACTTTGAGGTCACATTAATGGGCAAAATCCAAACGAAAATCGTCGAAACTACTGTGTGTGTGAAGTGAGCATAGAATCATCGCATAATACACGTACACGCATGGCCTACCATAGGAAGATGCCTCACACGGAGTAAGCCCGCTCCATTGTTACTACGTGATGTGCTACATCCACTGACAGAGTAGATTCTCGTCTGCTGTGTGTCTCTTTGTTGATTGCACAGAGGGCGGATGCACGCCTTGCCGACTCGCTCTCGCGGGTTCGTCGCCTCCTTGCAATCCGCGACGCCCGCCGTGCCCTCGTCCGCCCGTCCTCCCCGGGACCCCGAAACCGCCTTTATCGACGTCGACGGCGACCACGACCGAAGTTCGAACGGGGACGTGGCCAAATGGGTAGATTAAAACGCCGTCCGTCCGCGGGACCGCCCGGCGGCGACCGGGGGCGGGCGGGAGGGGAGATTTGGGCGCTGTAAAATGGACCCCAGATACCCCCCTCGACGCCTTAGAGTATTATTATATAGAATTATACTTTGTTAGAATCAGGGTAGCCATCTTGTTTTAACTTGTGAGACTCCACCCCAAATTGGAGTTTACTTTGTTCAGAGCATTAAACAGGCTGAACCATGTTTGATATTTTACCTAAATTAATCCATTATCTAACCTCTGCTTTTAAATAGAAAAGGAAAGAGAAAAGTCCTTTAAGTATTTTGATGTTGCTTTACCAATTCAATTAGGTTATTATGATTGGTGTTGGAATTGATTAGTAAGCTGAGTTTAGATTCATATGAAAGACTTCGTTATGAATGAACCTGTAAATACATGTAGTTATTTAGCAGTTTAGTCATTTTGATATTATGATGGACATGAAAGGGATTAGGAGGTTAAATGTCTAATAGTCACAAAATGAGTTCAATTACTTTTTATATTACCTAGATAATGATTGGATGAGCCAATGTTATCATGGGTAAAGATTATTTGCCTTGATACTGTCTATGAATACAGTATGCTGTGTTTATTATATTGATAATAAATGTGCGATTCCACGTCTTGACACTATAGCATCACAACCATCTATTGTTTCTCCTCGTGTTCTTTTATTTTAGCACCCTATACCACTAAGGGGGCGTTACATACATGTAGCGAGATTTTGTTATAACGAGGTAATTGGCTTGGTCTCGAGCACCTCGTTATAATTAACGGGAGTGGAGTATTATACAAGGAAATTGGTGGGAAAAAAGAACGAAGTATTGAAAAATAGAGAGAGAAAGGACAGATGAAGTCAGACAGTGTAGAATAAAGGGGCATAAGTGACCAGCAAAATAGCATAATGAATGTTTGGAACTGAGATTTTAGGCGCAAAAGTCAGGAATTTTAATACACACGTTATTTTATTGTACATGAGCAAGAACATTCAATACAAAGATATGAATTTTCTAGCTAGTCATTTCAACATACTAGTACAACGAGATTTCGTTAGAACAAGTTCAATTTCCTGGTCCCAATTTCAAGCATGTGCACATGTGTCTATACGTGTGCCTATGTGTTCAGTATAACGATATGTCATTACACTAGTAGGTAATTGGCTTGGTCCCGGGCACCTCGTTATAACGGGAGTGGACTGTAATTAACAAACACACACACACATACCTTTCACATGTAAAACCAAACTATGTTACCGATTTCAAGGGCATCAAAGAACATGGAATGCATGTAATGATGAATGTGATTGGTCCTCATTTGTGAGGTCGGCGTGAGTGGCATATAAATCATGAAGATCACGATCGAAGTCAATCTTGATCAAAAGGTTTTTTTTTTAAAAGGAACCTAGCACATACAATGTAGATTCCACCACCCCTCCCCCTTCTTGACAAAAATGTTTAGAAAACATGCTCAAATACACTCAAATAGTCTACCATTAATTATTTTAATTTATCAATCTATTATTTATTAAAGCATTTTTATACAGGATAACAGTGTTCAGGTATATTGTGTTTTCAACAAGTTCCTGTTAACATTGAAAATAGATTAAAATGTGAATTAAATATTTTATTGTAATCTAGAGGTTATAGATAAATCTTTCCCAGTCTCATACTTTAACATCAGCATATCTCCAGATGTAATAGATTGTGCTCAAAACATGCTTAAATACACTAACATGTAAATACACGTAGTCTGCCATTGATTGCTTTAATCAATCAATTATTTATTAAAACATCTTGAAGCAGGATAACATGTTCAGGTATATCGTTTTCAACAAGGTCCTGTTAACATTGAAAATAGATTAAAATGTGAAATAAATATTTGATAGTAATCTAGAGGTTATAGATTGCACATCTTTTCCAGTCTCATATACTATAACATCATCAGCATATCTCTAGATGTAATTGATTGTGCTCAAAACATGCTTAAATACACTAACATGTAAATACATGTAGTCTACCATTAATTGCTTTAATTAATCAATTATTTATTAAAACATCTTTAAACAGGATAACATGTTCAGGTATATTGTTTTCAACAAGGTCCTGTTAACATTGGAAACAGATTAAAATGTGAAATAAATATTCAGAGGTTATAGATTGCACATCTTTCCCAGTCTCATATTATAACATCATCAGCATATTGTTATAACTCCAGATTTAATAGCTGGTGATATATATCATTTATAAATAGAAATAACTAAAATCGGAGCAAGTACTCCTCCTTTAATATAATAGGGGGCCTACTCCTACTGACATTTCCTTTTTTGCAGGAAGTTTCCCTTGCGAGTGCAACTTGTTTTCTTTCATTCCGATAACTTGAAAACCATTTAATCATAAATGATTCTTAAGTTATTGTTCAGAACCAAAAATAATTTTTCCTTCACTGCCAGTGTCCTCACTGTTATCACTGTCCATTGATTCACTTTCTTCATTAATCAAGAGGGGCTGCAGGTTATATAAGCCAGCACATACAATTAAAATGTCATCAACATTTTGAACAGTAGCAGGGATTGTGCTACTCAATATTTTGAAACATTTCAAACGTCGGATCGCCCTCTCGACATGGATCCGTACATTTGCAATTCGTCTGGTTTCCGTCACACATTTTTCGGGTAGGCGACGGTCTTTGAATCCCCTCGTGAATGTTGGGATCGACAGTTTTACACCTGGTGGTAAAATGTCCGTAATAGTGAAGCCTCTATCGGCTAGCACTTCGTCCCCTGGTAACAAATGTTCCCCACAACCACAATTTCTTGAAATAAAAGTGTCACTTGCACGTCCACCAAAGAGTTTCGAGACAAAGCTCACAAATCCATTAGGTGCAATACAGTAAAGCGCCTTGTATGTGTTATGGCTTTTGTAGTTTGAATAAGTTTGGGCTCGTTTCATCAGATTTAATGGTCTTTGTACAAAGATCTCGAAACAGTCTATAATGCAGGTAGCTTTCGGATGGAGAGTAGCGAAGCTTTTGGGCCGAATTCTTGCCAGAGTGTCACGTGGCGGCCAGAAGATTATGTTACATCTCATGTAGTTTGCCATGAGTGGCAACCACGTAGAAAATATTGTACATGCTGTCGTCCTGGAGATGCGAAATCGTACTCCAAGGTCTGTGAACATTAAGCCTAGTCTAAGCCTCATGAGAAGAAGAAGAATCTGATCGTGGACCGCAATTTTAGAATTCGGTATAGAGGACAAAGACATGATAAGAGAATTTACAAATGCCCAAAACACAGCCAAACGTAATCCTGTGTAAAACTTCACGACACAATTATCCATGTTTGTAACAGATGCTTCAGGACAATGGTCCGTTTGTGATGCTTTTGACACGGTGCGCCACGATTGGTCCTTAATGGCATAGTTGTGATCTTGAAGGGGGATATCCTGCCACTGAAAAGGGGAATCCTCCATCTTTGGCGTTTCGGTCTGCATAGAAGTGTGAGTAGTGCCATTCCCTCCCTCATCATTGTCAGGCAGTTCATTAGGCTGTTCGTCATCAGTCGCCATGTCTGTCGAGTTGAGTGGCACTCGTCGCTTTGGCTGTGGCCTTCCAGGATTCAGTCGTTTCTGTTACAGATCAAATAGTATTGATAATAAAAATAATGATAAATTAATAATGTAAGGAATTTGAAGTTCATCACAACCATACTTAATTGAAGGACAAAATTCACGCCCCTCCCTAGAAAAAGAAAAGAGAAAATTGAAGGGGGTATATTTTGCAAATTTCATGTTCGTAATTCTACCCCCCCCCCCAACTATTTTTTTAAAATTTTAAAACATAAATTCAAGGGGGGGGGGGGGAATACATGGCATCATTAGAAAAACAAATTAAATACAAAAAGAAGATCATTTTAAATGTCTAAAATAGTCTAAAATCTATCATTGAATTTTCTTTCCACTCTTTTCTTTCTTCAAAATGTCAGATTGTTATTACAATTCATTGGCTATTCTATGTGTGTGGTTTTTTAAAGAATAGTATAGAACAAGATTGTGGTAAATTAACTTACATAACTCTTGTAACCCAAGCATTGGACTGGATACGGCTGGTCTGCAGTTGGTTTGCCATCCTTGAAGTGGACAGAACACACCTGCATAAGAGAATAAAGCAGCAATGAATAAAAGCCATCCAGCATACTACTCTAGCCCATAACTAGGGTGCATAAAACATTGTCGTGGACTGGTAATATGATTGTTTCACCCCTAATTTCGCTTGGAATTTGACGATGTTCCACGCCATTGACTGATGATAAAGCCTCCGACTCCGACTCTGTATTATCAAAAAGAGATAATTACATCCCAAAGTTGTCTTTTCAAACCCTTTTGATCAAGAAAGGACACATTTAGACATGTTCTGTTTGTCCAGTTGTACCAATTAACGGCTCCGAAACTACTTTTGGGGTTGGCTACTCAAAACGCTTTGTCCCATTATTGTGATTCCGGTGCTATACTATTATAAAAGGCAATTAACTTTTCCTACCAACCACTGGCATAATTGTGGGGTGCAAAAAAAAAGGTCCTAAAGTCCTTGATAAAAAGTTGATTTCAGGTCACTACTTCAACTGGTTCTAGGACAACTATCCCCTGGACATTTACCCCCCCCCCCCCGGAAAATTAGCCCCCAAGGACAATTACCCCCCGGAAATTTACTCCCCCGGAAAATAGCCCCCCAAGGACAACTACCCCCCAAGGAATTACCTCCCGGAAATTTACCCCCGGAAAATTACCCCCCAGGACAACTACCCCCTAGGACAACTACCCCCGGACAACTACCCCTAACCCTAAACCTAACCCTGGGGGTAGTTGTCCTGGGGGTAGTTGTCCTAAGGGGGGTAGTTGTCCTAAGGGGGGTAGTTATATATCCAGGGGATAGTTGTCCGGGGGGTAGTTGTCCAGGGGGTAGTTGTCCTTGGGGGGTAATTTTCCGGGGGGTAAATTTCCAGGGGGGGGGGGGGGGGGTAATTGTCCTTGGGGGCAGGAAGCAGGGTAGTTGTCCGGGCGGTAAACTTCCGGGGGGTAGTTGTCTGGATACCACTTCAACTTATACTTCAACAGAATTTGGCGAAGCCCCCCCCCCCCCCCTCATTACGTCACTGCTGCCAAATGACTAAAGTAAACCCACCCATCTAACGTTGAAGAATTTGCCGAGTACTAGATCTATTAGTTAGATCTTTAATAGACCAAAGAATTCTGTCCCTGGTTTAGGGAAGGGGTGACAGAATTATTCGGTCGACAGTCACTAGATTTCCTAGATCTAACTTAGGCTAGCTAACGTTAACTTAACTTGTTAGACTGTTTAAATTTAATCCGTTGTAAATTTTTGTTTAGTTGGCAAAGGTTGTAAAAGAAAGAAAAAAATGAAAAACTCACCCTGCTATTGGCATTTGGTATAAAATTCTTGCGATTTATATTTTTCAACCACTCCTGAAGTTTTCGGGCAGAATCATGATAACGTCCATTTGGAAACGGTGCATTTGGTAAGGTTGCAAGCACTCACATTCATCGTGCGTCAAAGGTGAATGAATTTCACACACCAATAGTTTCCATTTTCGAAGTTTTTTACTATTGTTTGTGCATCCAACCACTGCACAGTTTTTCCTGTTCCTGTCTTCGATTTTTTCTTGATGAAACAATACACATGAAATCCTTTTTGTCCAAAGAAAAACGTCACAAAACGGTAACAAAACTCGCGAGTAACAGAGGTGCAGCGAATAGAATCGATCGCTCAACGGGTATGCTATACCTATACCGAACCTCGCCCAGGCCGGCCAGGGTCGCTGCTCCGCTAGCTAGTAACCGCTCTCGAGCTCTCTGTACTGTCAGCTGGATCTGAGAAGCCCCCCAGTTATAGCGCCGCCACCGGCGGGCAGGTACATAAAACCCCCAAACCGAATCGGTGTATAATGCCCATGTTGTCTCCCGCAGTGACGTCATAATGCTATTGCGCAATACGTGCCTTCACGGTTGTTTCACCGCAAAGCATGCCGGGACATAATTCTAGTCCATTTTCACCTTCGCCGTGATCAGCTGTCCTGTTGCAAACAACGGGATTCGTATCGAATCAACATCATAATCTTGTACATAGTCCGCTATTCTGCAGTGATTTTCTTCCAATCCAGTATCATTTGTACGGTAAGAAAACCAGAGTTTGTGGTTATTCATTTTTATGACAAATAAAGCTGATAATACGACGTAATGAGAGTGGGCCGAGATCCAACTTTAGTAAATGTAGGCCTAGATCTAGTCCCGTATGTTCAAATGTGTGTGCATTTTAAGTAGACTGATTGTCTTTTAAGCTGCTTAAGTACACTCGTCTCGTGTTTTAGGTAGAAATGTACAGTAATATGAGATTTATGTCTCATGAAATATTAATAGACTTTCTAGATCCTATAATTGATAATGGAATAGGGTCTACTAGAATGGCTGACATTTAGATAGTGATTGCAATTAAGTGTAAAAAAGTAAAAGAGGCCATGAAAATGATAGATTTGTCGATCTGGATCTGGATATAAATTCTGATATCGATGAGCTCAACTTCAGCATCTACGTGTTGAAGAAGTGATAAGGATTCTTTTGTTACAATCATTCTTGTGGTCACGAACTTAATATGATTGTCTTTTCCCTTATATTTATCAGTACGTTGCAGCATCATCGAACACGGCCGATGAAACAGAAGATAACGTGCATGTAGATGTTACGAGAGAGCTCATTTCACAATGGACAACAGAAGTGTTACGTGACTTTCTACAAGGAGGGGACTCAAGCTTGGAAATCGAGTACCGGTAGTCATTATTTCATGGGTGTTCTCTGCCTTGACGCGGTAGCTGTTCAGCCATCCGAGGTAGACACTGTGAGGAACTGGACAATGGATGGATTGGGGGGGGGGGGGGTGGGGGTAGGCATGCAGAACTGGCCTACTATGTTTGTATGTACCTACTGGATAAGGACCCTCCATCACTAGAGGGAAAAATAATGAGAGACTACAAAGAGGGGAAGGCATATAGTTATTTTGCCTTGTGAAAAAATTAGATTTAGCCCCTAAAAAAAGTGTTCCTTCGGGTATCAAATGACGACAGGTGAAACCTCACAGTTGTAGAATTATTATCTGTAATGTGATTTCCAAACCATGTGACAGCAAATGGTGTATGGTGTATGTTGTAAAGGTATTGTAAAATGCATTGTTTAACAATGTATATATGTTTAAACCGAGATGGACGTATGGCCCTACGTGCTACCAGTGTCTGTGATATGGTGTATTAATACTGAAGCCCTAACAAAATTGTGCTTCAAAATGATCAAGAAGTGCCTCTAAAAAGTAAAAATCTTTGTTTGACCCCTTTTACCATACTCGTTTTCCCCAATAAACTGTAGTGTTATGAAAACCGTTTGGCAAACACAAAATTTGGTTTCGATTTCCAATCGTAAATATCTTGATAATCAGACAGGCGATCGGATTGTAAAAGTCATTGAGTTCCTGACTGACCTAAATTTATCATTGCAGCATGAGCTAAATCCAGGATTTTGTTTCAGAATCTGAGAGTAAGTTACCCGATCCCTTTAAATGTGTTTGCATTAAAGGTGGTACCCCCCCCCCCTTCTCAGCAAAAGTCCAGTGTGTAAAGTCAATACGGGCAGATCTTTTTCTTTGTTACGAGCCAGAGATTTTGGGAACACACATGCGGTACCTCCGTTCCCGTTCCTGGAGGGGGGGACGGGGGTGGTACTAGTACTTCTTCATAAGATGTCAACTTATATGCATTGCATTAAACCTGTTGATATTGATCTAACTTGTATTCATCTCATGGTTATATTTATTTTATCAATAAAATAAAACAACACAGAGAAGGTTGTAGATGAGTACTAAGCAATCATTACTGTATGTAGGACGCCGAGTTGAAGTTATTCATGATTTATTCAAGAGAGGAAGGTCAGACAGACCTGATGTTTTAAATATTTAACGAGAGAAAAATCATAGAAACAGAGAGAGGCATCGAGAGAGATGTCGACGCTTAATGAAAGAGAAAGAGTGATAATAAGGAGAGAGGAGAGAGAAAGAGACAGAGAGGGGAGGGAGAGATAGAGAGGGAGAGCAAGAATTAGGTGTGAAGAGGAAGATCTAAGAGAACAAGAGATTAAATTTTACAAATGTACACGTTTCCATGTACCTTTACTTAATTTATATTATAATGTAAACGATATTGTGATGGTCTTTGCTTAATTTTAGTTTGCATTCTTTCCTTTAGCTTTATCTTCTAATTTACTATTCTAATTTAGTAAATGTTAGTATAAATATAATTTTGATTTCTATCTCTTCCCCTATGTCATAGCCTCCATTCTTGCTCTCCCTTCCTCATGTTAGTCCATCTCTCTTTCTCTCTGTAATGATAACCCCTCTATCAATCTTTTCTCCATCAACTCATGATATGTTCCTCCTCTTCTCCTTCTCGTTCATCATCACAATCATCATCATCATCTCAAAACTGTATTAATCAATCTATAAGACTCTTTAGATTGATCAATACAGTTCTTATAACATATGACCTTTATGTACAAACAATAAACCAAATGGTCACAATCATTTAATAAAAAGTGGTAAGAACAATTATTCCAACTCTATGGGCAACAACGTAATCTCCATTTTCTCCTCCTCGTTCAAATATTAGCTTCTTTTTCATTCTTTACTCGTGTTACTTCTCTATCTCTCTGACTATACTCACAAGAAAGTAGAATCAACGGTTTGACATGAAACAGTCTAGAAAATGAACTAAATTTATTCAAGTATCAAATGATTTTGAATTACAGACAGCTTTCTCCCACGAGATGAAAAAAATATCTCCCTAACCAGAAACTGGCAAAATAACTAAATGCCTTTCCCTCTTTGTAGTCTCTCATTCTTCCCTCTAGTGATGGAGGGTCCTTATCTACTAGGTACACACAAATGTCTCTATACATAGTAGACGACCAGCTCTGCAGTCTGAATGCCTTTCTCCCCCCCCCCCCTGCCCCCTCTCCATCCATCGTCCAGTTTATCTCTACCTCGGATGGCTGAACAGTACCCCCAGAGTCAAGGCAGAGAACACCCATAAAATAATGACTACCGGTACTCGATTTCCAAGCTTGAGTCCCCTCCTTGTAGAAAGTCACGTAACACTTCTGTTGTCCATTGTGAAATGAGCTCTCTCGTAGCATCTACGTTATCTTCTGATTCATGGGTCATAGTGTTCGATGATGCTGCAACTGATAAATAAAAGGGAAAAGAAAATCAAATTTTAGTTTGTGACCAAAGAACCCTCATCACTTCTTCAACACTAGATCATGTAGCAGACGTGTATGCAGGGGGGAGGGAGTTTCGGGGGTTGAACCCCCCCCCCCCCCCTCTTCCAATTTTGTTTAGACTATGTGTGTGTGTGTTTTTGAGGAAACCCCCCCCTCACTTTTTTAATAACAAAAATAAATTAAACATTTTTTGTGCTAAAGGGTAACCCAAAAAAGGTGACCTTACCCCCCACCTACTGAACAAAATATCGGTCTCCCAAATTTCATATTTTCGGGGAAAAAAAGAAGGAAAAAAAAAGGTGCTCTTACCACCCCCGGCTTATTCACCGGCTGGTCGAGTCGTTGTGAAATTGACTGCGTGATTTTTTAAAATTTTACCCCCCGGCCCCCCCCCCTCGAAAAAATCCTCCGTACGCCCCCGTCATGTAGATCCTCAAGTAGAGCTCATTGATATCAGACTATTATATTCAGATCCAGATCGAAAAAATCTATCGTTTTCATGGCCTCTTTTACTTTCTTACATTTATAATTTCTAATTGCAATCACTTTCTAGGCCTAACTGTCGGCCATTCTAGTAGACCCTATTCCATTATCAATTATAGGATCTAGAAAGTCTTTTCATATTTCATGAGACATAAATCTCATATTACTGTACATTTCTACCTAAAACACGAGACGAGTGTACTTAAGCAGCTTAAAAGACAATCAGTCTACTTAAAATGCACACACATTTGAACATACGGGACTAGATCTAGGCCTACATTTACTAAAGTTGGATCTCGGCCCACTCTCATTACGTCGTATTATCAGCTTTATTAGTCATAAAAATGAATAACCACAAACTCTGGTTTTCTTACCGTACAAATGATACTGGATTGGAAGAAAATCACTGCAGAATAGCGGACTATGTACAAGATTATGATGTTGATTCGATACGAATCCCGTTGTTTGCAACAGGACAGCTGATCACGGCGAAGGTGAAAATGGACTAGAATTATGTCCCGGCATGCTTTGCGATGAAACAACCGTGAAGGCACGTATACAGCTCCGAAACTTTGCTTTTTTCTGAGCGTTCTGAGTCGACATTTTTAAAGCCAGATTCCAGAATTAGCGATGATTTCTCAGAATAATCATTGTCATATTCGGAATCTCTGTGAACGATTATTCTACATGACTTGTTTCATTTTTAGCCCGTTTTGGTAAGAATGACCCTTTAATAAGCTTGATAGGGAAACTATAAATACACACCATCATGTATTTGAAGAGGCGTGTTTTTAAGTTCTCTTTCTCTCTCTCTCTCTCTCTCTCTCTCTCTCCACTATAGGTTTGCAACATGAAGTCAAACTTCACCATCAGCCTGTTTCTCCTTGCCGCCATCGCATGCCTGTCCCAAGGATGCTGTCCTGAGAGGTTCATGCAAGTCGGTAACCGGTGCTACTATTTCAACTCCGACAAGGTGGATTGGCACGATGCACGTGATGCATGCCTAGAACTTGGGGCGCATCTAGTCAGCATCCACAGCTTTCAAGAGAGTGCACAGGTCTATGCCTTATGGAAGAGTCTCGCCGATGACAGGTTCACTAGTAATCTATACGAGGTGAATAGTAGACTAGTATCTTTTGTGTAGCTGTACGGGGAAGGCTGTTGTGATTGGCAAAATGTGATTTAAAAAGAAGGGGTTGGGTTGGGAATAATTTATGTGCAGCTCGGAGAGTAGCGAAATTTTGATCGGCGCGATTTTCAAAGCTTAGCCCCCCCCCCCCCCCCCCCCCCTATTGGTAAATCCTGGATCCGCCACTGTGTTCAGCTGCGTGATGCGTAGCCTACACAATTTTAAAACATGTTCTCATAGCAATTTCATGTGTGTTTGTTTACAATTTTATTTCTCAATTGCAATCTGCTGTTAATATCTTGTTTATGTCTCGTTCATTATTGTGTCCTTTGATTGTCTTCAATAAACACTTAAATATTTTTTTTTTGGTGTAAATGCCTTCCTTGTTAGCATGTAATCATTCTCCTTTTCCCCTCACGCAGGCATATTGGATTGGACTAAATGACCAGCAAACTGAAGGCGTCTTCAAGTGGAGTGATGGGACTCCTACGGACTACACCCTATGGCATGACGGCGAACCAAACAACAGCAGGGGAGAAGATTGTGTGGCTGCCCTTAACGCAGGTAGCAATGACCAGGACAGGCAGAAGTGGAATGACTACCCATGCGGACTATTGAAGTCCTACTTCTGCCGCATACCTCTCTAAATCACTACCTAATGTCCCCATTGGTCAAATCGGAGGTCCTATTGTATTACCCATACAAATCATGCTTGGATTATATCATTACAATGTTCGATCATTAGCAGGTGATTAGCTGTCTAGGACCTTGTTTACGTTAATTTCTCGAAACTGGTTGTGATCGTGTTAATAATTTATTTAAATAACAATTATTAAATGAAAGGAAGGTTATTATCATGCAGCCAATTTGGACAACAAAATCATATTGAGTATTTAGTAGCGCTATAAACAAAAACATAAAGTAGGCTTACCGTGTGCATGCTACGTAGACCCACTAGAGGTCAGTGCGTTGACCCCATTTAAACACGTTTACAAATTGTAAACGCATCTTTTTATGAGTTTACGTTCGGCGATCGTGATCGCCGTTTTTCGGTGATTCTACAAAAGTAAGCATGGACGCAACCGTGTTTTAAACTAAACGCGTTCTGATGCCTGATTCTGGCCAGAAAAAGTGAAGCATGAACACGCCCTTAGTCTTAGCGACGTACGCGCCCGCTTACTCACTATATTTGTGTACAAGAGAATTAGCCACACACACACACACACACACGCACACACACATGCGAAGGGGAAAGGGAACTTCGAACTCGTGGGGTAAACACTCACACGGGTAAAATTCTTAAAATGACCAGAATCTCGTCTATCTATAGTAGTACAAGTAGTGTTGCGCCTATATCTTATAATTACGGTAGTCTCAAATAACGCAGAACAGAATGAAATAATTGAGTCGAATTAATTCAACAATAAATGAACTTATTAAGTTGTCACAATCTGGATTTTTTGTATAGGCCTATAATTATATTCTTGTACGTTTATAGAGTGCTCCCTCATCCTGAGTATGTCCATGTTTTGCGAGAAAGAGAGAAGGAGAGAGAGAGAATGAAATAGAGAAGGGACTGAATGATAGAGGGGGATGGGAGGAGTGAGTGAGAGCGAGAGAAAAGGAGAGAGAGAATGAAATAGAGAAGGGACTGAATGAGAGAGGGGGATGGGAGGAGTGAGTGAGAGCGAGAGAAAAGGAGAGAGAGAATGAAATAGAGAAGGGACTGAATGAGAGAGGGGGATGGGAGGAGTGAGTGAGAGCGAGAGAAAAGGAGAGAGAGAATGAAATAGAGAAGGGACTGAAGGAGAGAGGGGAATGGGAGGAGTGAGTGAGAGCGAGAGAAAAGGAGAGAGAGAATGAAATAGAGAAGGGACTGAAGGAGAGGGGGGATGGGAGGAGTGAGTGAGAGCGAGAGAAAAGGAGAGAGAGAATGAAATAGAGAAGGGACTGAAGGAGAGAGGGGGATGGGAGGAGTGAGTGAGAGCGAGAGAAAAGGAGAGAGAGAATGAAATAGAGAAGGGACTGAATGAGAGAGGGGATGGGAGGAGTGAGTGAGAGCGAGAGAGAAGGAGAGAGAGAATGAAATAGAGAAGGGACTGAAGGAGAGAGGGGGATGGGAGAAGTGAGTGAGAGCGAGAGAAAAGGAGGGAGAGAGAATGAAATAGAGAAGGGACTGAATGAGAGAGGGGGATGGGAGGAGTGAGTGAGAGCGAGAGAAAAGGAGAGAGAGAATGACATAGAGAAGGGACTGAAGGAGAGAGGGGGATGGGAGGAGTGAGTGAGAGCGAGAGAAAAGGAGAGAGAGAATGAAATATAGAAGGGACTGAATGAGAGAGGGGGGTGGGAGGAGTGAGTGAGAGCGAGAGAAAAGGAGAGAGAGAATGAAATAGAGAAGGGACTGAATGAGAGAGGGGGATGGGAGGAGTGAGTGAGAGCGAGAGAAAAGGAGAGAGAGATTGAAATAGAGAAAGGACTGAATGAGAGAGGGGGATAGGAGGAGTGAGTGAGAGCGAGAGAAAAGGAGAGAGAGAATGAAATAGAGAAGGGACTGAATGAGAGAGGGGGATGGGAGGAGTGAGTGAGAGCGAGAGAAAAGGAGAGAGAGAATGAAATAGAGAAGGGACTGAATGAGAGAGGGGGATGGGAGGAGTGAGTGAGAGCGAGAGAAAAGGAGAGACAGAATGAAATAGAGAAGGGACTGAATGAGAGAGGGGGATGGGAGGAGTGAGTGAGAGCGAGAGAAAAGGAGAGAGAGAATGAAATAGAGAAGGGACTGAAGGAGAGAGGGGGATGGGAGGAGTGAGTGAGAGCGAGAGAAAAGGAGAGAGAGAATGAAATAGAGAAGGGACTGAATGAGAGAGAGGGGGATGGGAAAAGTGAGTGAGAGCGAGAGAAAAGGAGAGAGAGAATGAAATAGAGAAGGGACTGAATGAGAGAGGGGGATGGGAGGAGTGAGTGAGAGCGAGAGAAAAGGAGAGAGAGAATGAAATAGAGAAGGGACTGAATGAGAGAGGGGGATGGGAGGAGTGAGTGAGAGCGAGAGAAAAGGAGAGAGAGAATGAAATAGAGAAGGGACTGAATGAGAGAGGGGGATGGGAGGAGTGAGTTAGAGCGAGAGAAAAGGAGAGAGAGAATGAAATAGAGAAGGGACTGAATGAGAGAGAGGGGGATGGGAAAAGTGAGTGAGAGCGAGAGAAAAGGAGAGAGAGAATGAACTAGAGAATGGACTTAATGAGAGAGGGGATTGGGAGGAGTGAGTGAGAGCGAGAGAAAAGGAGAGAGAGAATGAAATAGAGAAGGGACTGAAGGAGAGAGGGGGATCGGAGGAGTGAGTGAGAGCGAGAGAAAAGGAGAGAGAGAATGAAATAGAGAAGGGACTGAATGAGAGAGGGGGATGGGAGGAGTGAGTGAGAGCGAGAGAAAAGGAGAGAGAGAATGAAATAGAGAAGGGACTGAATGAGAGAGGGGGATGGGAGGAGTGAGTGAGAGCGAGAGAAAAGGAGAGAGAGAATGAAATAGAGAAGGGACTGAATGAGAGAGGGGGATGGGAGGAGTGAGTGAGAGCGAGAGAAAAGGAGAGAGAGAATGAAATAGAGAAGGGACTGAATGAGAGAGGGGGATGGGAGGAGTGAGTTAGAGCGAGAGAAAAGGAGAGAGAGAATGAAATAGAGAAGGGACTGAATGAGAGAGAGGGGGATGGGAAAAGTGAGTGAGAGCGAGAGAAAAGGAGAGAGAGAATGAACTAGAGAATGGACTGAATGAGAGAGGGGATTGGGAGGAGTGAGTGAGAGCGAGAGAAAAGGAGAGAGAGAATGAAATAGAGAAGGGACTGAAGGAGAGAGGGGGATCGGAGGAGTGAGTGAGAGCGAGAGAAAAGGAGAGAGAGAATGAAATAGAGAAGGGACTGAATGAGAGAGGGGGATGGGAGGAGTGAGTGAGAGCGAGAGAAAAGGAGAGAGAGAATGAAATAGAGAAGGGACTGAAAGAGAGAGGGGGATCGGAGGAGTGAGTGAGAGCGAGAGAAAAGGAGAGAGAGAATGAAATAGAGAAGGGACTGAAGGAGAGAGGGGGATCGGAGGAGTGAGTGAGAGCGAGAGAAAAGGAGAGAGAGAATGAAATAGAGAAGGGACTGAAGGAGAGAGGGGGATCGGAGGAGTGAGTGAGAGCGAGAGAAAAGGAGAGAGAGAATGAAATAGAGAAGGGACTGAATGAGAGAGGGGGATGGGAGGAGTGAGTGAGAGCGAGAGAAAAGGAGAGAGAGAATGAAATAGAGAAGGGACTGAATGAGAGAGGGGGATGGGAGGAGTGAGTGAGAGCGAGAGAAAAGGAGAGAGAGAATGAAATAGAGAAGGGACTGAATGAGAGAGGGGGATGGGAGGAGTGAGTGAGAGCGAGAGAAAAGGAGAGAGAGAATGAAATAGAGAAGGGACTGAATGAGAGAGGGGGATGGGAGGAGTGAGTGAGAGCGAGAGAAAAGGAGAGAGAGAATGAAATAGAGAAGGGACTGAATGAGAGAGGGGGATCGGAGGAGTGAGTGAGAGCGAGAGAAAAGGAGAGAGAGAATGAAATAGAGAAGGGACTGAATGAGAGAGGGGGATGGGAGGAGTGAGTGAGAGCGAGAGAAAAGGAGAGAGAGAATGAAATAGAGAAGGGACTGAATGAGAGAGGGGGATGGGAGGAGTGAGTGAGAGCGAGAGAAAAGGAGAGAGAGAATGAAATAGAGAAGGGACTGAATGAGAGAGGGGGATGGGAGGAGTGAGTTAGAGCGAGAGAAAAGGAGAGAGAGAATGAAATAGAGAAGGGACTGAAGGAGAGAGGGGGATTAGAGGAGTGAGTGAGAGCGAGAGAAAAGGAGAGAGAGAATGAAATAGAGAAGGGACTGAATGAGAGAGGGGGATGGGAGGAGTGAGTGAGAGCGAGAGAAAAGGAGAGAGAGAATGAAATAGAGAAGGGACTGAATGAGAGAGGGGGATGGGAGGAGTGAGTGAGAGCGAGAGAAAAGGAGAGAGAGAATGAAATAGAGAAGGGACTGAATGAGAGAGGGGGATGGGAGGAGTGAGTTAGAGCGAGAGAAAAGGAGAGAGAGAATGAAATAGAGAAGGGACTGAAGGAGAGAGGGGGATTGGAGGAGTGAGTGAGAGCGAGAGAAAAGGAGAGAGAGAATGAAATAGAGAATGGACTGAATGATAGAGGGGGATGGGAGGAGTGAGTGAGAGCGAGAGAAAAGGAGAGAGAGAATGAAATAGAGAAGGGACTGAATGAGAGAGGGGAATGGGAGGAGTGAGTGAGAGCGAGAGAAAAGGAGAGAGAGAATGAAATAGAGAATGGACTGAATGAGAGAGGGGGATGGGAGGAGTGAGTGAGAGCGAGAGAAAAGGAGAGAGAGAATGAAATAGAGAAGGGACTGAAGGAGAGAGGGGGATGGGAGGAGTGAGTGAGAGCGAGAGAAAAGGAGAGAGAGAATGAAATAGAGAAGGGACTGAATGAGAGAGAGGGGGATGAGAGGAGTGAGTGAGAGCGAGAGAAAAGGAGAGAGAGAATGAAATAGAGAAGGGACTGAAGGAGAGAGGGGGGATGGGAGGAGTGAGTGAGAGCGAGAGAAAAGGAGAGAGAGAATGAAATAGAGAATGGACTGAATGAGAGAGGGGGATGGGAGAAGTGAGTGAGAGCGAGAGAAAAGGAGAGAGAGAATGAAATAGAGAAGGGACTGAATGAGAGAGGGGGATGGGAGAAGTGAGTGAGAGCGAGAGAAAAGGAGAGAGAGTATGAAATAGAGAAGGGACTGAATGAGAGAGGGGGATGGGAGGAGTGAGTGAGAGCGAGAGAAAAGGAGAGGGCGAATGAAATAGAGAATGGACTGAATGAGAGAGGGGGATGGGAGGAGTGAGTGAGAGCGAGAGAAAAGGAGAGAGAGAATGAAATAGAGAAGGGACTGAATGAGAGAGAGGGGGATGGGAGGAGTGAGTGAGAGCG